TCCAAATCATCTATGTAAATTGTAAACAATTACGGTCCCAACCCTGATCCCTGAGGCACAGCACTAGCCACTGACCGCCAACCAGAAAAACACCCATTTACCCCTACTCTTTGCTTTCTACTGGTCAACCAATCCTCTATCCTTGCCAATACATTACCTGTAATACTGTGCAACTTTATCTTATGTAGCAGCTTTTGGTGTGGCACCTTGTCAAATGCCTTCTGGAAATCCAGATACACCACATCTACAGGTTCCCCATTGTCTACCATGCAAGTAATGTCCTCAAAGAATTCCACCAAATTAGTTAAACATGACCTACCCTTCATGAACCCATGCTGGGTGTTCCCAATGAGACAATTTATATCCACACGTCTTGCTATTTCTTCCTTAATGATAGATTCAAGCATTTTCCCCACTACCGAAGTTAAGCTAACTGGCCTATAGTTACCTGCTTTTTGTCTACCTCCTTTTTTAAAAGTGGCGTCACATTGGCTGTTTTCCAATCTGCGGGAACAACCCCAGAGTCCAGTGAATTTTGGTAAATAATTACTAGTGCATTTGCTATTTCTCCCATCACCTCTTTTAGTACCCTGGGATGCATTTCATCAGGGCCAGGAGACTTGTCTACCTTTAGCCCCAATAGCTTGCCCAGCACTACCTCTTTAGTGATAATGATAGTTTCTAAGTCCTCACCTGCTATAACCTTCTTGCCATTAGTTTTCGGCATGTTATTTGTGTCTTCCACTGTGAAGACCGACACGAAATAACTGTTTAATGTCTCGGCTATTTCCTCATTCCCAGTTATTAAACTGGCCTTCTCATCCTCTAAAGGACCAATGTTTACCTTCGCCACTCTTTTACGATTTACATATTTATAGAAACTTTTGCTGCCTGTTTTTATATTCTGAGCTCGTTTACACTCATAATCTATCTTACTTTTCTTTATAACTTTTTTTGTGGCTTTCTGTTGGCCTTTAAAGATTTCCCAGTCTACTCTTTGCTTTTTGTATGTGTTTTTTTCAATCTGATGCTTTCCTTTATTTCCTTAGACATCCATGGCTGACTCTCTCTTTTCCTACAGTTCTTCCTCATCACTGGAATATACTTCTGCTGAGCACTGTGAAAAATAGTTTTGAAAGTCCTCCACTGTTCCTCAATTGACCCACCGTAAACTTTTTGCTCCCATTCTACCTTAGCTAACTCCTCCCTCATTCCTTCATAGTCTCCTTTGTTTAAGCACAGGACATAGGTACTGGATTTAACCTTCTCACGCTCCATCTGTATTTTAAATTCGACCATACTGTGATCGCTCCTTCCGAGAGGATTCCTAACTGTGAGATCATTAATTATTCTTGTCTCATTACACAGGACTAGATCTAGGATAGCTTGCTCCCTCGTAGGTTCCATTACATATCGTTCAAGGAAATTATTGCGGATGCATTCTATGAACCCCTCCTCAAGGCTGCCATGACCGACCTGGTTTGACCAATTGATATGTAGATTAAAATCCCCCATGATAATTGCTGTACCATTTTTACATGCATTAGCTTTTTCTATGTTTATTGCCCACCCCACCACAATGTCATTATTTGGTGGCCTAAAGACCACACCTATCAGTGACTTCTTCTCCCTGCTATTCCTAATTTCCACCCAAATGGATTCAACGTTTTGTTCAGTAGAACCTACATCATCTCTCATTACCACCCTGATATCATCCTTAAATCACCTCCCTTACCTTCCTGTCTGTCCTTCCGAATAGTTTGACACCCCTGGATATTTAACTCCCAGTCATGACCATCCTGTAACCATGTCTCTGTAATGGTCACTAAATCATACCCATTTGCCATGATTTGCACCGTCACATCATCCACCTTGTTTCAAATGCTCCGAGCATTCAGATAAAGTGCCCTTATGCCAGTTTTTGCACCTTCTTTTTGGTCCTATTACCTCCATTACTAACAGCTCTTGAGTTCTCCTTCCCTTTAACTTTTTTCCTAATTTTCAATGGAGTTGAAGCTTCCTCGTCACCTGCTAACCTGCTGCTTTGCCTTACATTAATTGTTATTCTCCCTCTATGCTCGCTTCTCCCTTTCCCCATGCTTATTAGTTTAAAGCCCTATTAACCACCCTATTTACCCTTTTCGCCAGAACACTGGACCCGGCCCTGTTCAGGTGGAGTCCATCGCAGCGGTATAGATCCCTCCTGTCCCAGAACTGATGCCAGTGCCCCATGAAAAGGAAACCCTCTTTCCCACACCACTCTTTTAGTCACGCGTTTACTTCCCTGATCCTCGCCTCCCTATGCCAATTTGCACGTGGCTCGGGCAGCAATCCAGAGATTATGACCCTTGAAGACCTGTTTTTTAATTTTGTTCCTAGCTTTTCATAATCCCGAAACAGGTCTTTTTTCCTAGTCCTGCCTATGTTGTTGGTATCTACATGGACCACAACAACTGGGTCCTCCCCCTCCCTCTCAAGTATCCTCTGAAGCCGGTCAGAGATGTCGCACCCTGGCACCAGGCAGGCAACACAACATGCGGGATTCTCTATCCTGCTTGCAAAGGATACGGTCTATCCCTCTGATGATGGAATTCCCTACAAGTACAATCTGTCTTTTTGCTCCCCCCCTCTTGAATGGCTTCCTGAACCATGGTGCCATGGTCAGTTGACTCATCCTTCCTGCAGCCCTGTTCCTCATCCACACAGGGAGCAAGTGTCTCACACCTCTGGGACAATGTCAAGGGCCGCAGCTCCTGTGTTCCTGTCTGCAGGGTCCCTCTACCTGCCTCACTCGCAGTCACACACTGCTGTCCCTGGCCGCCGATCGAATTAACATTAGTTAATCTACTAGGTGTGACTGCCTCCTGGAACACTGTATCCAGGTATCTCTCCCCCTCCCGGATGTGCCGCAGTGTTTGGAGTTCGGTTTCCAGCTCATCAATTTTGAGCCGGAGCTCCTCAAGCAGCCAACACTTGCTGCAGATGTGGTCACTGCCGTTCTCAATGGGATCAGCTAGCTCCCACATCATACAGCTACAACACATCACCTGACCTGCCATCTCTACTTAGTTAATTATTTAAAACTAATTAGTTTTTTTTTTAGTTTTGCAGTGTTCTCTCTAAGTGTTCTCTGCACCAGTAACTTTACTCCATTATATACTCAAACAGACTCCGGCTTTGCCTTCCGACCCGCTCCCAGAGGATTTGGCGTCTAGCTGACCATCCCGAAAGATAACAAGGAGATGAGGAAAAAAAAAATGCAAATAGCTTACCTGCTCACCATACTTAGTCGTTATTATTAGGTTAGAGGATGTGGAAGGGTGGGAGACACTACGCATGTAGTGTCTCGGCTATTAGTTAACTCCCAAATTTATCGGGGAAGCTTACCTTCCCAGGTTGCCCTCGCGCTTTCTCCCGGACTCCGACCGCTGAAACAACTGAAAGGCCGCAGTAATGCGAGGTAAGACTTTTATAGTTGAAAAGCTTACCTTCCCAGGCTGCCCTCGCGCTTTCTCCCGGACTCCCGCCGCTGAAACAACTGAAAGCTTAGAATGGTTGTCCCAGCCTTGGGCCAGCTCAGTTCACTGCAGCTTCTCAGATGCCATAGCACAGCCTCAAGCTAAGAATGAAAGACCTGGACAGCAGCTTTATCAGGCCTCCTCTATATTCCTGCAGTCTGTCTTCCTACTTTCCCTCCTCATTTGGCTGTGGGGTCTGAAAATGGGAGTCAATTAGCTTGAATTGAGGAGGAAATGATGGGGGGAGTGGAGTGAAAGAGCGAAAGAGAACTACTGCCAATTGTATCATTCAGCAAGTTGGGTTCCAGACTCAATATTGGCACTGCATTACTGAAGTAAAAAGATTCCATCCAATATGAGAATTGATGACAGTTGCGAGAACAGGCATAGTTTCAAAGTATAACAGAGGCATGCCCACTTGGCAGGACGGTGGCTCATTGGTTAGCACTGCTGCCTCACAGTGCCAGGGGCCCAGCTCCAATTCCAGCCTTGGGCGACTGTCTGTGTAGGGGTTGCATGTTCTCCCAGTGTCTGTACGGGTTTCCTCTGGGTGCTCCAGATTCCTCTCTCAATCCGAAGATGTACAGGTTAGGTGGACTGGCTATGCTAAATTGCCTCACAGTGTCCAGGGATGTGTAGGCTAGGTAGATTAGAGCCATGGTTAATGCAGATGGGGAGGGGGTGTGGGCCTGGGTGGGATGGTCTTCGGAGGGTCAGTGTGGACAGTCAACAGTCTGCACAATTCTGGTCTATCTCAATGTCATTATTACAGCATATGCCAGCAGCCTACACAGCAAATACACAGCATTTGCATCAAACAAATGGCCATGTCTCAAACCTGAATGGGAATAGTCCTGGTCAAGTCAAAGAGGGCAGCTATCAGTCAGGAGTCCTGGTATTAACCACCAAGGGGTTCATTCGATATCAGTCAAGGGGCTTGGGCACAGTCAGTTAGCTACTCGTCAGGATCCTCTCCAAGTCAGGGCTGAGGAACTGAACGTTGGACACACCACCAACTGCCTCAGCTAATTCTCCCTCACTGCGAATTGTTTTCTCCCCCAGTGAGGCATTGGGAGGATCGAGTGAGATGAAAGCGGCTGACAGAGCTGTGAACGTTACTGCAGGTGCCTACAGCGAGCTGGAGAATCGGACCAGCGTTTAACAAATGGGGCACCGTAGGGGCACAGAACCCAGTTAATTGGGTGAATTTGGGACAATAGCATGAGAAAACTCACCAGGCCTTGTGGAGAGAAACCTTCCACGGAACTGAACAAAAGTGACACTTAATCTGTTTCTGGTAATGTTCAGTCCATAGTTATTCTGGCATCTAATCAGCAAGTAATGCTCTGAACTACTTAATCAACAACTAGATGAATCGTTTACATCTTTATTTTGCTATAGGATACATTAATAACAACCCCTATAGTGAAATTCGGTAAGTTAGGAGCAAACCTGTTGCAGAATGTAAAGAGCAGTACTCACCCAGTTCTTTAATGTTTGTCTGAACGGAACTAATCATCGTCTCATAGAATGTTTGGGCCATGTTGAGATCTTCGCTTACGGAGTCAACCTTTCTGAATACTGTAATAATGAAAGATTCAGTTATTATAACACCTTAAGACGTAAAAACAGAAGTAGGCTATCCAATCACAAAAAATAATAACGCAATAGTTATTAAGGTTTCATGGTCAATTTTGTCGATAGCTGAATCATAACAGGTCAAATAAAAAGATATTCCGCTTCCCTTCTCAGTAGGTGGACTAGCAGTGAGGCGTGGTGTTGAAGCATACTATTTAAGAGTGCCCAATGGCATTCAGTTATCCCAGCCACATGGATAGTGGTCTCAGTTTCCCCAGAAGGAAAATCAATTTGGGTACAGATGATAGTGAACTGGAGATTATAACGAACAGAATTAAGTTCCTTTGCTTATTATATAGCTCAATAAATTTTTAAATGGGCATGCATCTCCAGAATAGTCAAGACATTTAAAATGGCAACGAGTAACTGTGGTCCAAGATTAGACAGTGGAAAATTAAGTTTCCAATTGATTCACAGTACATTGGAAGGGTTATGTTGTCTGGTTACTTTATCTAGTTAATTACAAAATTCTTTTCCATGACTACTTAACCAAAATCTTTTATAATTTTTAAGATCTCCATCAGATTACTTCTTGGTCTTCACCTTCTCAGATGCATGTCACTTTTCTGGTTGGTATGACCTCTTAGTTTTGGAATCATTCTAGTTAATTTTGCTTCCACCTTCTCCATCAGCTCTGTACTTTTTATAATGTTTTGGCAATAGTCAAATTGGTTGAAGAAAGATTCAGTAAAAGTTTAATATCACTCCTCTTAATTCCATTTAGTTTTAGTTCCAATATGTCATTCATAAATAGTAGTCTGGATCACGCCCATGTTATCCTGAACCAAATCACTGCTTCCATTACTCTTACCTTTGTCCACTTCTCAGTTGATGTGAGAAAGCTCTGGGGAAAAACTCAAAGAGCATTCCTACGTTTGCATTTATGGTGTTGAGATTCTAAAGAATGGAATTTGTAAAGTTACACCATTTACAGTGGCAGATGAAATCCAAGTACTCTAATCCATTTCCAAGAAATCCAAATATTTTAATTCACTTCCAAGCGTATGAGCGAATAATAAAAATTTATTTTTATTCGTTCATATGCATGAGTTTCATTGGCTTTGCCAGGATTTATTTCTCATCTTTAATTACCCTTGAGAAGGTGATGATGAGCTATGTGTTGCAGCTACACCCACAGTGCTGTTAGGGAGTTCCAGAATTCTGACCCAGTAACAGTGAAGGAGCAGCAATATAGTTCAATTTAGGATAATGCGTCAATTGGAAGTAAATTAAAATATTTGGATTTCTTGGAAATGGATTAGAGTACTTGGATTTCATCTGCCACTGTAAATGGTGTAACTTTACAAATTCCATTCTTTAGAATCTCAACACCATAAATGCAAACGTAGGAACGCTCTTTGAGTTTTTCCCCAGAGCTTTCTCACATCAACTGAGAAGTGGACAAAGGTAAGAGTAATGGAAGCAGTGATTTGGTTCAGGATAACATGGGCGTGATCCAGACTACTATTTATGAATGACATATTGGAACTAAAACTAAATGGAATTCAAGAGGAGTGATATTAAACTTTTACTGAATCTTTCTTCAACCAATTTGACTATTGCCAAAACATTATAAAAAGTACAGAGCTGATGGAGAAGGTGGAAGCAAAATTAACTAGAATGATTCCAAAACTAAGAGGTCATACCAACCAGAAAAGTGACATGCATCTGAGGAGGTGAAGACCAAAAAGTAACCTGATGGAGATCCTCAAAATTATAAAAGATTTTGGCTAAGTAGTCATGGAAAAGAGAATGCCACTTGTTGATAAAACAATAACAAGGGCCTACAAATTCAATAGAGAATAAGTTTTTATATCCAGAAGTGGAAGACAGTAGAATTCACTACTGAATACAGTAACAGGCTGAGTAGCATAGACACATTCTTGGAGATATATGTTGATGGGGATAAACAAAGGAAATCTGTGTACTCCATAAATAGTGGGGAACACCTCTTCAACTGAATAGCCGGTTTCTGTGCTAATTACTTTGTTAACGTTGTGTCTAAGACGTAACAGAACTACCTTACCTACAGATGCAAGAATAGCAATAGCTATGATGAGACAACTAAAGAATATGTACAGCACTTTCACGGCCAGACTCAATGACCATGCAGTTTGACATTTACAACATCCAGGTCTTGAAGTCCTCTCTGCTTCATTGGAAAACAAAATTGCATCTGTAAGTTAAGGTGAAAAAGATTACAAATGTATTATTAAAACTACACCTTTAGAATTATTGTACGCATCTATTGTAAAATGCTGTTTAAAAGAGCCAGGAGACAGCAAGAACTGCAGATTCTGGAGTCAGAGACAAAACAGTATGGAGCTGGAGGAACACACAGGGCGGACAGCTTCTTTCCAGTAAACTTTCCTGCTCCTCTGGTACTGCCTGACCTGCCCCACATTGTGTTGTTTCTTGTTTAAAATAGCCATTTTGATTATCTCCAACTTGGATGACTAATTCTACTTTTCTCTTAGTGCAAATTGAAAAATCTTCATTTGAAAAAGTGACTTACTTTTCAAGGACCGTAACATCCCCCCCTCAGTGGTCGAGAACGCCCTCAACCGTGTCTCCCACATCTCCCGCAACTCATCCCTCACACCCCGTCCACGCAATAAGAACCAAAAAAGAATCCCCCTCGTCCTCACGTACCACCCCACCAACCTCCGGATCCAACGCATCATCCTCCGACACTTCCACCATCTGCAATCTGACCCCACCACCAAAGACATCTTTCCCTCCCCACCCTTATCTGCTTTCTGGAGGGACCACTCTCTCCGTGACTCCCTTGTCCGCTCCACTCTCCCCTCCAGCTCCACCACACCTGGCACTTTTCCCTGCAACCGCAGGAAGTGCTACACCTGCCCCCATACGTCCTCCCACACCCCCATCCCAGGCCCCAAGAAGACTTTCCACATCAAGCAGATGTTCACCTGCACATCTGCCAATGTGGTATACTGCATCTGCTGTACCCGGTGTGGCTTCCTCTACATCAGGGAAACCAAGCGGAGGCTCGGGGACCGCTTTGCAGAACACCTACGCTCGGTTCACAATAAACAACTGCACCTCCCAGTCGCGAACCATTTCAACTCCCCCTCCCATTCCTCAGACGACATGTCCATCCTGGGCCTCCTGCAGTGCCACAACGATGCCACCCGAAGGTTGCAGGAACAGCAACTCATATTCCGCTTGGGAAACCTGCAGCCCAATGGTATCAATGTGGATTTCACAAGCTTCAAAATCTCCCCTCCCCCTACCACATCCCAAAACCAGTCCAGCTCGTCCCTGCCTCCCTAACCTGTTCTTCCTCCCACCTATCCCCTCCTCCCACCTCAAGCCGCACACCCATCTCCTACCGACTAACCTCATCCCGCCCCCTTGACCTGTCCGTCCTCCCTGGACTGACCTATCCCCTCCCTAACTCCCCACCTACACTCACCTTTACTGGCTCCATTCCCGCCTCTTCGACCTGTTGGTTTCCTCTCCTCTATCCATCTTCTATCCGCCTCCCACTCTCTCCCTATTTATTTCAGAACCCCCTTCCTCTCCCCCTTTTCTGATGAAGGGTCTGGGCCCGAAACATCAGCCTCTCTGCTCCTATGATGCTGCTTGACCTGCTGTGTTCATCCAGCCCTGCGCCTTGTTGACTTACCCAACTTTTGTTTCATTGGGGGAGGGGGCAGAGGCTTTTTATGTGACAACTGAAGAACATATCATGCTTAACCTAGTGTTGGTATTAAGAATTCTCAAGTCGAAGTTAAAAGGCTTAAGTGAAATACATCTGCACTGTTCCAGCCCAAGAGTGCCGACCCATAGACAAAACAATTCAGGCCACATATAATGTAAAATCTAAGTTGTACACTTCAATTAATTTTAAACAAGGGTTGGAAATAGGGCAGTAGGACCACAGAAATGGTGTAAATACCTTTTCATTCGCATCCTGACAATTGCTGTCACAATATTTTGTTGGATTTAACATTTGGTGGCTGAAAGGGCAACAAGAAAAATGATATCTACTCAGAGAAACTGGGGGAAAAGAGGGTTTGCATAGAGGAGGTATTATGGGAAGGATAATCAGTTACCTATTCGTGGAGTTTGTGGGCTGCAAGGTGATGGGGCTCACAGAATCCCTACAGCGTGGAAACAGGCCCTTCGGCCCAACAAGTCCACACCGAACCTCACAACATCCCACCCAGACCCATCCCCCTATAACCCACCCAATCTACACCTCCCTGAACACTACGGGCAATTTAGCATGGCCAATCCACCTAATCTGCACATCTTTGGACTGTGGGAGAAAACCAGAGCACCCGGAGGAAACCCCCGCAGGCATGGGGAGAATGTGCAAACTCCACACAAACAGTTGCCCGAGGCTGGAATCGAACCCGGGTCCCTGGTGCTGCGAGGTAGCAGTGCTAACCACTGTGCCACCGTGCCAGCTGGTAGGGGGTTGGGCGTGTGGAGGCAGAGATGCCAATGTGCAAGGGGCAACATATTAGTTAGTAAGGTGTACAGTAAAGCATAAAATGGGAAAGGGACAATGTGGGAAAGGATTCATCCATGGTCAGGAGCACTCTGGCTTCAAAGTGGGGACAAGGTATGACCAGACCTGGCAATGGTCACTTCATATCCGAGGGGTTGGGTTGGGTTGGGAAGTAGTGGGAAAGACAGAGAGAAGTTGGGAAGAAGGAAACTTAGGTAGAAGGGCTGGGCGTGTTCCTGGGAGGCACAAAGCCTAAGGGGTTCACGGGAACGGCTGTCACAAAGAGGACTGAGATGTTCAAGGCCGCACCGACAGGCAGGGGCAGAGGGTGAAAACCACTGGCCAAAGATTGTCGTCTGCTGCTTTCCATCATGCTGGAAATCGAAATGACACAATGTGAATAAAAGTGGCAGTGACCACACCAGGAGTGGGCGAGGTAAGTGTTTCAATCCTTGAGGAAGGTGGCTGCAAGACCCATCAAACCGAGACTCATTCGAAGGTAACAACATCACACACAGACCTGTGGGGTCCCTAATCCCGGATGATAATGCATTCATTCCTTGTATGCTGTATATCTCACTGCACCACACATTACTGAGCACCTCATTCACACCATCACTTTTAGTCCCAGAGGCCAGGGAAAGACTCGGGACCTTTGACTAAAAGGAGCAACAGTGACAGCAAAACCCATCACCCTATTTACACTTTGTTCCTCTTGCTTCCAGATGCTGCAGCAGGCTCTCAATATTGGCATCAATCCATGATATGTCCTGTATAGGCATGAAAGTAGGGATCGTGCTGCAACAGTTACATTCAGAGCTACACGGAGCGTCAAGCAAACAGTTGTAATGCAAAACAAATAGCAGTTAAGCAACTGTGTGACCCCAAAGTGCCCTCAAAAGGTTCTTTTTTTTTTCTTTTCCTCTCAGTACATCACAGACTTGTCCCCGGTTCTGCAGCCGGGATGGAGGGATGACACTCATCAGTGGAGCCTGTTGACTTTGAAGGTTTGCTCAGGCAACCCTCCTCTGTTTGACTTCTAAGGGTAGAAAAGGCAGGCTCAGTGAGACGTTGGGGGTGGGCATGGGGGGTGGGGAGGGTGGCCACCTCTGAGGTGTCAGAGAGATTTTTGAGATAGCCTAAATATGGTTCATTCTTCAGCTTGGGTGTCTGTGCCAATGCCCTGTCTCCTTTCGAGGAGGAGGCACCTAGAGTGCATGTCAGGGTCCCCCTGTCCTGAGAATCAATGGCTGCGGTGATGGGGCGTGGGTGTGGCAGAACTGGAGGGTGCTAGACTGGTTCTCTGTGGCAGCTGCCAACCTCTGTACAGTGGCAGATGGTCACATGCTTGAAACCACTGGGTCTCCATTACAAAACTGCACTCTTACAGCTTCTGGATTAGTGATTTGGGAGGGTGGGGGAACAACAGTGAGTGAGGGAGGGAAAATGGTTCAGGCAACAGTAAGAGTGGCAGAGCATGAGACTTGGTGGGAGGAGTGCTTAGTAGCAGAGACAGAGTGAGAGTGAGGTAAAGAGTGTGGCACTTACCCTGACAGAGCAGGGTACTGTTCTTGTGCACTGCTGGCTGTTTCTCCAGTCCGTGAAGACCACACTGACACTGGGTGGCACACTCGGACCAGGCTGCCAGGCTGTGGAGATATTTCCTCCACTTCTGGTCCTCCGGGAAGAGGCCCATAAGACACAGGAGCAAAAGAAGGGCATTTATCCATTGAGTCTGCTCCACCATTCAATGAGCTCATGGCTGATTTGATAATCAGCAACTATATTTTCCTTCCTTATAGCCATAACCCGTGATTCTCTTCCTGATAAAAAAATTGTCTATCTCAGCAATGAATATACTAAAAGATCCAGCCTCCGCAACCCTCTACAGTAAAGAATTCCACAGATTCACTACCCTCTGAAAGAAAAAATTAATTCTTTCTCTGTCTTAAATATGATGTCGAGATGCCAGTGGTGGACAAAGTCAGAAGTCACACAACACCAGGTTAGAGTCCAACAGTTTTATTTAAAATTACAAGCTTTCAGAGTGCTGCTCCTTCTGACTTCTGACTCTGCCTTAAATAGATGACCCTTTATTCTGAGATTATGCCCTCTGGTCCTACTCTTCCAGAAGGGGAAACAATCTCTCCTTATCAACTCTTGTCAAACCCCCTAAAAATCTTAAACGTTTCATTAAGGTCTCCTCTGTTCTTTTAAATTGCATTCAGTACAAGGCCAACCTACTCCACCTTTCCGCATTAGATATCCCTCCATACCTAGGATCAACCTAGTGTACCTTCTCTGCAATACCTCCACTGCCAGTTTATCATTGCTCACCTAGGGGACCAAAACTGTTCACAGTATTCCAGGTGAGGTCTGATTGCACAGTTTTAACAAGGCTTTCATATTTTTATTCTATATTCCCTTTGAAATAAAGGCTAACATTCCATTTACCTTCCCTTTTACCCATCGGCCTTGGAGGGTGTCAGTTAGATAGATTGGCTGGATGGCTGGTTTGCAATACAGAGTAACGTTGACAGCATGGGTAAGTGTTCTGCCCCAACTGAGATTACCATGAATGACTCTCCATCTCTTCCCTCACCTGAGGCGTGATGACCCTCAGGTTAAACCATCACCAGTCACTTCTCTCTAAAGCGACAGTAGCCGTTCAGTATGTTACGGCTTTGGAACCTGGATGTTACCTTTGGTCATTCATGCACAAGGACTCCAAGTTCCTAACAGCTTCACCCATTCCTCTCTTTGCAGTCACTCGCTCAGTCTATTTCCTGCTTTTACCCATTCCTCACAGCAGTCATCATTTTCTACGCATGCCATTGCCAACACACTCAATTGTCTGCTTTATCTCCTTACAGAACAGAGCACGCAACATGGCGAGAGGCAGAGATCCGGGGGTGGTTGGAGTGGGGAAAGAAGAGATCCCTCCCTATCCTGCCCCCTCACCCCCCTCCAACCCGTTACAGGTACCTTCTTGCCCATTGATAATGTATGCTCACTTGCTCCACTGGAAAGGCAGTCTTGTTCCAGGAGAGTGCAGGTGTTAGCAGTGACCTGCCATGGGAACGTGAGCTTCCTGTGACAATGACTGTCAATAGAGGATTTTGATGGCCATCCCAACAGCCCCAAAAGTGGTGTCTCTGGCTGAGGGAGGGCAGCTGGTCCTGGTGTTCCTGTTGGTGCTGGTGTTGCTGCTTATCTTGTCCTTCATCTGCAACCATCTCCAAGTAAAGATCTGGAACTTTGTCACTGAGCCTTGGGAAGGTATAAATTCTGCTGACATTGATAAGGAGTAGCTAATTATATCTTACCCTGTCATCGATTGCACTGTAACAGCTTCAGAAGTAAGGAATAATGAATGAATGTGTTACACTGGGGACAAGATGTTAACTTTTCTTTTTAAAGTCAGTGCATATGTTTTCTTCCTTATATTTCCTGGCAGACATTTGGAGATAACTTTAAGAAGAAATCATTTTGCTTAATGCAAGGTTCGGCTTTGCATACAGTGGTACACATCAACTTTTCAAAAGAAAAGCCAAGTTAGAAGGAGCATCTGTTTTCAATCAGTTTAAAATGAACTCAGGCATTAAAGCATTCCTGATAATAGTAATTACCGTAGCTTTCTGTAAAATTACTTGACTTGTAAGAGCAAATGCTAACTGCAAAATGACACAACCTTGCAATGGGCATCGATTTTGTTTTTAACACAGCCACCAAATTTTAAATGTTTTCAGTGAGGCGGACTCGTCTAGGAAATAAATTTTTCAAGTCGGCAAGAACTACAATGACTTTTGCCTATTTCAGGTGCAGGGGTTTTGTAGGCTGTAGCGATGTCAGTCAGTTTATTGGTTTTAGAACTGGGGAATGACTACCGTAAGTTATGGCTTCTACGGTCTCATAAGTCAGTAGAAGCTCTTTGAAAGCTGTTTTAAGAAAAACACACCAAATTCCATCATTGCTTCATCACAAGAAGGCCTATTTCAAGGTTAACCATTTCCCAGTCAGGAACAGCAGGTTTTACTTGCCTTGTGGGCTGAGTTTTCTGGCAGACTTTGGGATGCGAACATTAGGAGCGAACGGATATCCTGTGGCCACATTTGCTGGTGTATTCCTGCAGCAGGCAACCTGCTAATTGGCTGGCTTTGTGCTCGCTGTCTTATTGAGGATAGAAGGTTGGTCCCAATGGTCTCTGCAGCTCTGAAGGATGCGGAATCTTCTAACTCAGTTCATGATCCATGACAGTGTATCAACATGGAGGCCTCTTTACCAACCATAGAGAACAGATGCAATGAAACCATCTGAAGGTATGAGGACCATTGATACTGAAGAAAAACCCCTCTGGAGGACTGAACACTGCCGTATTTCTACCCTGTAGCTCTTGTCGCTGCGACATGGATCCTCTGCCACTTATGGTCTTCGGAACAGCCTCAAAGAGGGAGCTTTGAATGTCAACACAGCAAAGGAGAGGGGAACAGGGTGGAGGGACTCTGCTAACAGGAACCACCTCAACTGGCTGTCCATCTCCATGCTGCAGGCAGCTAATCTCACTTCACATTACATTGGGAACTTCTTCATCAGTGAGAGTATATTGGGGACCCACATGGCTTCTCACTACATCCCCAAACTCAATCCCTATTTCAAGCCCATCACTAAACGCCAGTGCAATCTAGTTTCAAGGCTATTGTAAATGAGGAATATGTGATAAAAATTACAAGAAAACCTGTGCAAAGGTTCTAACAGGGATAGAATTGCTTACATGTGATTCTGAGCTGTGTAAAATTATTATTGCAAACTTGTAAGGAATATAAAACACATTTCCGAACGAGTGGCAATTATTGACATGAAGCTAGTTTGATAGGTTCTAGTGAAAGGTTCAGCACCAGGGAAATGCCACAGTGTTTGATAATTAGGTTCTGATCTGGATTTGATTTTCAAAGATCTGAACAGTAACTGTTCCAAAACCATATTTGCAGCTGTGTCATGCAACCCAGGATGATGCAATCCCTAAAGTAACAACTGTCCAGAAATGACTGAGACCTACGGGCCCAAAATGCTGGGAAGGGCAAAATCTGGCCCTGAGGCTATTATTTAACCAAGGCCTCTAGATGCGCCAGGTTTCCATTCCAGGTTGGCACAGTGTTAATTTTACTGGATGAGTAATCTAGAACCATGGACTAATGCTGCAATGAAACAAGTTCAAATCCACCAAGACAGCTAGAGGAATTTAAACTCAGTTGACTAATAAATCTGAAATAAATTGCTAGACTCATAAATAATGATTATGGAACCACAAGATTGTCATTAAAAAACTCGTCTGATTCACTAATATCCTTTAGAGAAAGGCATCTGGCACCCTAACCCTATTGGCCTACACTGCAAGCCCACAGAAATGTAGTTGTCTTAACTGCACTCTGCAATGGGCTAGTAAGCCACTCAATTTGTAGGTGACTCCTGCTCAAGGGTATTTAAGGATGGTCAATAAGTGCTGGCCTTACCAGTAATGCTCACATTCCAAGAATGAATTCAAAAAAGAATAGCCATACAATGTTAGCCTAACGGCAACCTTGTAAATGCTGTCAATTATTCTGAAAAATATCTGGTTCGCCAATGTCCTTTAGGGAAGGAAATCTGTCATCCTTACCTGGTCTGGCCTACATAGGACTCCAAACCCACAGCAATATGGTGGACTCTTGTTTTGTGGACAGTTAGGGATTAGCAATTAATGTTGGGCTACCCAGTGACACTTACGTCCTTTGAGTGAATTTAAAAAAGATAAATTTAGGGAAGGATTTAGAGCAGCCCTTGTTAAACCTGCAATAAACTTCTGTGGGCCTGGACACTGGCATGACTAACTTTCAGCTGTGCCAATCCAGTTTACTACCTGATGGATCCTGTGGAAGTTATATCGAGAGATGGTTTACGCTTTAGGAATGAAGTAGAGCAAGGTAATTAATTATCACGTGATCATTTATCTTTACATTCCCACCTCGTAGCTTCCTGAGGGGACAAACTGTAATGCTGTACTATATTTCTTTTTCACTTACTGGGCATTGCCACTACGATAGAAGGATCCAAAGTCTTTGCCAATTTTCAGTACCTTGGTAGGCAGTTACCAGTCACCCACATGGCATTGATACAGATCCATACTACCATGCCATAAGTGACACTTATTCCAACCCTAGGGGTGAGTCAATGGTTCAAAGGAGCAGATGTAAGTTAAATCCAGCTGCATTCCCCAGACTCTTAAAAGGGTGAGTTGCAATTCTGACACCATTTATTTAACTTAACCCTGCTACTAAACAAACTTAAAATATGAAAGTTACGATATTATTGTGAAGGAAATGGAAACAAAACATAAAAAAATGCTTTTACAAACCATTTTGTTCACATCTGAACGAATGCATCTCTTCTTCTTCTCCAGAGAAGTTGTTGTCTAAAATGCAACCATAAAAAATAAAAATAATGTAAATGTTGAAAGTCTGCATTAAACTCAGCAAATGCTGGAAATATTCAGCAGGTCTGAAAGCATCTAAAGAGAGAAGAGTTAACGTTTCCAGTTAATGACTTTTCATTAGAACTTCCATTAGTGTTCCTGTTGATTCCCAATTGTACTTTCTCCATTACATCTGTCATAAGCCAACTTGTTCTTTCCGTTGTTAATTTCTACCTCTTTTGTCATCCAGGGAATTCTGTATTTGTTTGCCTTCCCTTTTCTGTTAGAGAAAATATACCTTAACTGCACTTGAATCATCTGCTTTTTCAAGGTGGCACATTGTTCAGTTACAGTTTCTCCCGCCAACCTCTTATTCCAATGAATCCTACTCAGCTCTGTTCTTTCCCCATTAAAGTCAGCCTTTTGCCAACTGATTGCTGCTTCTTACACTACCAATCTCCCAGTCTATATTTAGGTACTTGAAGTCCCCCATTATAACTACACTATAATGTTGGCATTTCTCTATAATTTCCATGCAGATTTGTTCCTCTACATCCTTTCTATTAATTAACGGTCTACAGACTACACCGAGCAATGTAGTTGCACACTTTTTTATTCTGTAGCTCCATCCAAATTCACGCTGTCCTTGAACCCTCTGAAACATCTTCCTTTTCAACACTGCAATGCTCTCCTTAACCAATACAGCCACCCCTCCTCCTCTTCTTTCATTGCTCGTCCTTCCTGAACAGCTAACACCCAGTCACCCACCACCACCACCACCATCACAAACATCATAATTCCATATTCTGTAACTTTCCAATCTTATTTACCATACTCTGCGCACTTACATAGTAAAAGGTAAAGTCACTATAGTCTTTCTTTCATTGAAGAGTGACAACTGGTGGTGGTTTGACCTGAGGGTCACCCCACCTCAGGCAAGCACTTTCACGGTAACCTCAGCCAGAGTGGGAATTGAACCTGTGCTAGCCAACTGAGCTAAATCGACCCCCATTTACATAAATGCACAATAACTTTGTTTTGAACTTCATTTCTTTCTCCCCTATCCCTGTCCACTTATTATTCTCTATGTTAGTGCCATCTATCTCCACAAGTATTTTGCAAGTCCTGGTATTCTCCTCTACTAGTCTTTCCTGGTGCCCACAAATAGTATTGAAAACAGTTTTACTTCATTGATGATGGAGCACCGACTTCATGTGGTGTGCAAACATTTTGTTTCAATTCAGCAGGTCACAGGATTTAAAGGGTTACTAGTCTCATTTGCTAGGGAGGGCCATGAAGTGAAGTAGAAGGTAGTGTGCAACAATCTGTGTGATAAAAGGTGAGTCCAAGTCACTGCCTGGAATTTTCAGACGAGCAATGCTTTGTGAGGATACAGCTAAGCAGGAAGGCAACATTCGCTGTGTGACATCTCCTTTAAGAAAACGTGCAGATACATAAAACACTCAATAACACTATCAGAAAATAAGAACTTGCAGCAGAAGTAGGCCATTCAGCACCTCAAGCGTTCTGTCCTTCAATAAGATCATGGCTGACTCGGTTTGGCCTTAAATTCACATGACCCTTGACTCCCATTTCAATCAACAATCTGTCTAGCATGAATATATTCATTGACCCCATCTCTAAATACTAATGATCGTAGGAGAAGAAATGCTTCTTCATCTTCAACTTAAATGAGAGGTCCCTAATTTTTAAACTGTGTCCCCTGTTTCAGAGTCCCTCATGGCAGGAAGGATCCTTTCAGCATCATTCCTGTCAAGTCCCCTCAGAATCTTATGTTTCAATAAGATTATCTCTTATTCTTCTAAACTCCAAAAAGTACAATCCCAAACTAGACAACCTTTCTTCTGAAGTGTTTCCAGTGTAAGTGTGGCTTAATAAAGAATTCTTAAGTTGGCCATAACTGTACACGGTACTTTAGTCTCATGGTACGGGCTCACCAATGCCGTGTATAATTATAACTGTAGAGACATGGCTTACTGAATATGTAGATAAGCAGCGATGTGACTGTGACATTAACAGTCATGTGATAGTATTCTACTAAGAAGTTGGAATCTGTACAGCTCAGGACCTCTGTTCCTTGGCCTACAATTGTATACAATGCAACAGTTGACATCGTAAAACTATTCCTATGAAATCTGGCCTGAGCTTGCATTAAGACCCAAAGAATCCACGAGAATACAATGAAACAATAACAAGACTTCCCTACTTTTTATATTCTGTAGCCCTTGCAATGAAGGCCAACGTTCTATTTGCATTCTTAGTTACTTGCTGTACCTACAATGCTAACATTTTGTGAATCATGTGCAAGGACAGTCAGATCCCTTTGTATCACAGCATTCTATGTCTCTCCATTAAAGTAATACCTTCCTTTTCAATTTTTCTTGCCGGTTGGGACAGACTCACATTTTCCCTATTCACTGTATCGGCCAATTTTTGAACACTCACTTAACCATCTAAACCTCTTTTAAGACTCACATATCCTTTTCACAACTTTGTCTCCTACCCATCTTTGTATAACCAGCAAATTTAGCTACAGTATATTTGATCTCTTCAAAGTCAATAAATAGATGAGTGCCAATGAAAATTGTCATGACATTGAACTTTTATCCAGGCAACTGTAAAGTTGGACAGATGTCAGTCCTTCATTGATTCACTTATTCCATCATCGAAATGCCTACATCAAATTCAGCTTCAATAAGGCTTTCTGTTTATCAGTGTTATTTTCCCAACAATACATGGAATCGTTGAATGCACTTATGTCACCCCGGTGCAGAACAGGGGACACATTTTTAAGGTGAGAGGAGAGAGATTTAAAAAAAATACATGAGGGGCAATTGTTTTTTCAACATAGAGGGTGGTTCGCATGTGGAATGAACTTCCTGAGGAAATGGTGGATGCGAGTACAATTACAACATTTAAAAGACATTTGGATAAGTACACGAATAGGAAAGGTTTGGAGGGATATGGGCCAGGATAAGGCAGGTGGGACTAGTTCAGTTTGAGATTACGTTCCACATGGACTGGTTGAAGCAAAGGGTCTGTTTCCATGCTGTGACTCTACTATTCCTATGTAAAAATAGAACTGAAATTTACCCTATTAACAAATAAGAAGTATGTGAGCACCAGTATGGAGAATAATACAAATCCAATGCCATTTTTGCAGAAGCTTACACGGCATTTTTATTTTAGGACAAAGTTCAGTGTGTTCCCATTTTCAAAACAGTTCCTACTGCAAGCACTTAGCCACTCACATTCAACAACAGAACACGCCTTTAGCATATACACGTTCAGCAGATAACTGGGAATATTTAGCGTGACCATTTGGGGTAAGTCAAGAACTTAAGAACAGACCCCTGGTGCAGGTGGGCCCCTCACTTGAGGCCCGTCATTAAATCCTGCAGATAGTCATTAAACAAAACATGATCATTGGAGTAGGCAAATCCTTGTACTAGCCGTGCTCTTCCTTCTTTGTCCTGTATTCATCCAGCTGTTAAAATTGTTGGGGTACAGGAGTGAGAATGCCATGAGTGTCTCTCCACAGCAGGGGTAAGGAACTGGCTCAGAAATCTCTGGTGCAAGGATACTCGTTATATTTGTGGTGAGTTGAAACAGGCAGGAAAATGCTGAGAGCCTTGATCTCAAAGTCCTTTTGCACTAGAGAATTCAGGAGTTACACTATTTTGGTTTGTGTCACTGCAGATGTCACTGGTGTTGCTATGACAACACTCTGTGTGAGCAACAGAACTTCGTTTGATCTGTGTCCCCAAGTATTGCATTAAGGCCAATAATCATGTGGAAACAAGCCTCAGAAAATGCCTGGTCAGGTGACAAGAACACTTGCTCTTCATCAGTTTGGACTGTGTCGCTCCTGAATTCCCTTTACAAACTCACTAAACTAAGCTCTCAAGATTCGAGTACCTAGACGAGTGCTTGAAGTGTGCAGTGATTGCGCTGCAGGATACTGTGAATGGTGGCTATATTGGTAGGTACCAATTCTCAGCACATTGTGTTTCTCTGTGAAGAGGACAAACTTTGACAGGAGTATAACTTCAACCGACTAAAGCCGTGTAATACTATCAGTCGCTGCTGCCTTCAGTGCACATGCCTCCATAAATGTCATTCGGTAGGACGTTGTAAAGTGTTAGCATTTCAATTACCACTAGTTTAGTTGCATTCTCTCTGAATGTGGCATCCTTAAAGAGTACGCATCCATTCGTGATGAGTGAACAACATCTTGTCCTACTGGTTAAAGAGTTCTGTTTACAGATTATAAGGGTGCATAGTGCATGGACAAGGTAAAGAATGATCACCTTGTTGGGCATACTGGTCAGGGTGCTGATGGTTAGCATTCAGTATCAGCACCATAAATCACCTTCATTCCAGAGTCAGGGGGTTAAAAAAAGTCACTTGTACAATAATAGGCAGTGCATACCATGTTACTCCTGGCACATTATGGAGAACTGGGTGTGAGGAGTCATGATGACTAGCTGACAACAACGATAAAATCAGTAGCATATAAAGACCTCAAAGCACTTCTTGCTAGACACTGAAACTAGATCTCAGGTGGTCTGCTCACCTACTGACTGAAAGTTCTGCTTCCTGTCTCTCATTGTGTATTGGTTGCTGATCTCCTGCTGGGACTAAGACTATTTCTGAAATGTGATTAGCGGAGTATAAAAGAACTCTAAAACGTAAATTAAACACATTCTATTCTGCACCAGGCACAGCATCACATCCCATCTACATCAAACAAAAAAAGAATTTACCTGAACAGTATTCCATTTTCACAATATACAGGGGCTACAGCACATTTTCTTGAAATGTTTAGTGACTACTCCACATCACTCAGACACTACAGGTTTTCTATATTTTTAAAGAAATTAAAACCTCTCTCTGTGATTACTAAAAAGGCCAAGGGTACAGCCATGACACTTCTTCTGAGGCAAAGCCATAGGACTGAGGATGAATTTCTTCCAAAG